TAGTTACGTGTCAAAAGCTTTTTCCCCCTTTTTGCAGTTGCCCTGACCTGCAAATTCCCCAGAGACAGGTGGGAAGATCAGGGAGAAGCAGGGAAGTGGGTCTCTGTTGTTGTCAATCCGTCAGTGCTCCGCTCTTGACATGGCGGTGGCTGAGGGATGATGCGAGTTCAGCCGCAGCGCAAGCCCTGCCAGCCCACCTCCTCCCCCCCATCCCGCCTTCCCTTCCAGGTCTTCCTCCACGAGGCCACAGTGCGCCTGATGGCGGGTGCCAGCCCTACCCGCACCCACCAGCTGCTGGAGCACAGCTTGAGGCGACGCACCCCCCAGAGCAGCAAGCAAGGTGGGCTCCAGGGCCCTGGCAGCGACCCGCTGCCTGTGGGGCTGGGAGGGGGCAGCGCTCAGGCAAGGTGGGGGGGCATGGCTGCCATGCACAGCATCTTCCCCATGTCTGAGGCTCAGGATAATGAGCTCCCATCAGCCTACGGCTCATGGTGATGCTTCTGCCGTGCTCTCTACAAGCCGGCTAATGCGAGCTGCCAACCCCTTGGCTGGAGGTGTCGGCGAACAGGCTAGAAAACATGCGTTTTTGTACAGCCACGCATGCACAAAGCTTGGCAGAGTTCAGGGTGGTCAGTGCAAAGGCAGAAGCCAGGAATCCTAAAGGGGGAGAGCCAAGAGACATTCTGCTGGTTATAAAATTCCTTGGGGGTTTAAGGAAATGGGCAGATGTGTGTGCCAGTGCTGGGATGAGCCCTAGGAAGTGAAGTGAAAGGGACTGTCTCTGTAGAAGACAGGATCGTCAGTCCCTGCCTGACTCCAGCTCAGACTGTTCTCCCCTGCCAGCCTAAAGCAGCTGCCTGGGGATCCGCAGGGAGCCCCTCAGTCTTGGCACAGCTGGGGGATGCCAGCCAGGGATGCCTGTGCTAACTGGTGCTAGTCGAGGCCCTGCATGGCGGGGTTTTGTCATGCAGGTGGTAGCTTCATTGTGAGCTTTTTCCCTCCTCTTTGCATGCAGGTGAACTGGACACCCTGCCGGGCCAGAGGGAGCGAGCCACAGCCATCCTGTTGGCCTGCCGCCATCTCCCCCTCTCCTTCCTCTCCTCCCCGGGCCAGCGAGCGGTGCTGCTGGCTGAGGCCGCCCGCACCTTGGAGAAGGTGGGGGACAAGCGCTCCTGCAACGACTGCCAGCAGATGATTGTCAAGCTGAGCGGGGGCACGGCCATCGCCGCCTCCTAATGCTGGCGTGGGGCCTACTCATGTAAAGACAGCCTGGCTGACTGTCAGCCTAGACTTCCCTTCTGGAGCTTAAAAGGAAGAAAAAAAAAAAAAAAAAGTGCTAGGTTAGGGCCGTGCTGGTGGGATCGCGATGGGGTGGGAGAGGGAGGGAGGGTTTCGGTTTTGTTTTGGTTTTGGGTTTTGTGGGTTTTTTTTACCTTGCCCCAGGTTTAGCTTTATTAGCCCCCTTGCTTGTTCTCAGGCACTGCAGCAGGAATCTGTCTAGTTGTGGTTTTTGCGACTGTGCCTGGGGCTGTTGGGAAGTGCTGCCCCAACCTGGAGCCCCCATCCCTGCTGGGGGAGAAGCCCACAAACCCAAGGCATAGAGAAGTGGCACACCCTGTGTCTGTCCTCAGGGGCCTCTTGTTCTCTTCCCAAACATCTCTGTGGAAAGGAACCTTTGGGGGGACAGAGGATCTGCTCAAGCCTTGCCCCATGGGGCTACTGGGCTCTGGGGCTGTTCCCAAGGTGGGGGGGAGGAAGGCACCAGCTTTCCTTGAGCTGTGTGTCAGGAAACTGAAGGCCCCTAGACCCAACTTACAGAGGTGCTCTGAGAGTATTACGTGGGGCCAGTACTGCCTGGCAAATTTCTCTACGGTTTTTATACAGGTTTTTTTATAGGAGTGTTTGTGGCTTTACAAAAACATAGGGAACGATGCAGCAGATTTCCCTTCCTCTCCACTTCATGCGCCTCCTTTCTGTGATAGCTGCCTCTGGTTTTTGGCAGGGGGCTGGGTTTGTGGCAGCCTACAACAAGCGGAGCCTCGTAGAAGGCCGGGGCATCCCTGGTCATCCAGTGCTGGGAGGCAGCAGAGGTGGACGTGCAGCACCCTGCACTCGGCACGAAGGGTGAATGCTGCTCTGGTGCCTTGTTGTTGATGCAGAAACAATTTTTTAGAAACAGTTTTTTATTTTACTCAACTCCCAGTCCCAGAACTTGTCTTCAGGTGTTTCTCCTTCCCTCCAACTGCTCAACAGCTCCTGAGCAGCTCCAGGGACTGGGAGGCACTGGTTCAGGGTGTGAGTCTCCCAGCTCTGTTACCGTTGCTATTCAGAGCAGTTTGACTTGCAGGTGTTGAATTGCCTGTGACTTTTCAAGAGGGGGAGGAGGATTGGGGACAGGGAGGGAACAGTTTGCCCTCTTTCTCTCTGCCTTTCCTGTTGCATCTCTCCAAAGAAGTGCAAAGCAGTTGCCCTCTCATGCAAATGTGGAAACCAGCCCTTGGCAGGCGGGCATCACTGCTTCTCCCTGTGCATAACTGGCGTGTGCTCCGTGTCAGCAGCTAGAAGCATTTACATAAGGGCAGCAGCCCAATCCTGTCCTGTCCCAGTCATCCCTTACAGCCTGATTCCTGCAAAATCAGAATTCAGACTGTTTTGCAAGAAGCTTCTACATGTATCTGGCTTTTGCAGAGGAGCATGAGAGCTTGAGCTCCTTCCAAAATGAGGGGAAAAAGATGGGGGCTTGTTGCCTCACTTTGCATGGGGTCTTTTGGCATCTGGGAGGGGGATTTCATGTGCTGTGGGAATTGAACATAGTGCTAGTCCTGGAGTTGCCTGGCTTCAACAAATTGGAAACGGGGCCCAGGAGAAACCTGTCTCTCAGCAAAGCCCATTCCCAGCGGCCCTAGGCTATAGCCACAAACAACAGCATAGGGACCAGAAGATGCTTCCCTCTCTCCCCTGCTTTATTTGGGGAATAGCTGGTGCACACCCAGCTGCGATGGCTGGCAGCCTGTGCTGCTCGCCCCACTGGCAGGCAGGGGGGGGTCCCTTGCTTCCTGCTGCCAGTCAGAGGTGAGCTCATCCTCTGAGGATGCTCTTGCCTGTCTTCGATCAGCATAGGGGATGCTCTGATGGCAGCCACGTCTGCTTTGAGCAGGGATCCCAAGTGTGCAGAACAGCTCTTGGGTTTGGGGGGTTTGGATTGCCCATCCCAAGTTTCCTAGCTTATCAGGGATCCTATGTGGGGGGGGGTGTGGTGTGATCGCACCCTCCTACTTTTTTTCCTCTTAAGTGGCTCTCACACTGTCTTCCTGCTCATGGGTTTTTCCTAAAATACAGAAACTCCTTACCTGTGACAACCTCAGAGTTATTTTGCATTTCTCCAGATCTGCATCCAACACATGGGAAGTTTTGTGCTTTAGTAATTGGAAAAGGGAGATGCTGAGGCTTCACTTTGTCACTAACGGTGGACCGAGTCCTGGGGGATGGGCTGCAGGGAGTACAGGCTGGGCTGGGGGTGGGAGGCTGCTGGGCTGAAACCCTGGTAGCTAACAGCATCACCCACGGATGGTACTTCTCTCCCTTCCAGGGCAAGGGATCTTTGCCCTGTTTTTTCTACACTGTTTATAAATTTGCTGCCCATCTGTCCCTACAACTTTTTTTATATGTGTGTGTATATACTGTAACTTTTTTTTGTGGGTTGGAGGAAATTGTTTTATGGATTATGTGAAGAAAGTCTATTTATCCACATGGAGTTTGGAGTAGGGGTGCTCTGTGATACGAGGTGCAACTGGTGGTGGGGAGGTTCCCTGGGGAACATATCTGCTGTCTGAAAACCCTGTTCTAGGGCTCCTGAGCATCTGTTACCTAATAAAGGCAAATGTTGCCACCACCTCCTGCCTGCCCTCTTTCTCAGCCCTCTCCATCCCACCCAGCAGCTGCTCTTAAGCATAGGTGAACCTGAAATGTCCTTCGGAGACATCCAACACTGCAAGCACCTCAGGAAGCTGTCAGTCCTTTGTCCAGATAACCTGGAAAATGGAGCTGTACGGCTGGTAACGGAAGATGGTCCCTTGGTGGAGCACGTGTGGTGTCTCTGTGCTCCTTTGGAAGCAACCCAAGGGGCTGATGGCTCGAGCAGAGCCAAGGGAGGCAGAGCTGGGCCAGAAGCCTGCAATTTTAGGAGCATCTATACGGGAGGAAAACTTTTACCTGACCTTGCTCGGAACAATGTCCTTTCGCTCCATCTCTTTGTTTCTCTGCTCCCCCTGGTAAAACTGTCAGAACCATTAAACCTCAGACAGAGGAGATCTGTTTGGTTTTCGCATAGCTGCTCCAAGGGGTCTGCCATTGGCCCTGGAAGCTGTGTTCCCACCACTTCCCCCATTGGGGGGGTTCCCCGGGCCCTGTGGGAATGGGCTTCGCTGCCCGGGGGAAGGAGCTGGGGTTTTGGGAGCAGTGTGGGGTCCCCCAGCCAATCCATACCCAGGCCGTACAGTTTAATGTATTGTTTATTGACAAGGTGGAGGCTAGAGCATTGGGGAAAGGGAGGCTGGGGAGGGAAAGAGGCTGCTGGGACTCTGCTGGCAGTGCCAGGACAATGCTTTGAGTCCGTTGCTCTTCCCCCACCTGGTCCCGGGGGTGCCTGGCCCCAGCAGGATGTTTCCCCCCATCCCTGGGAGCTGTAGTCTGTCCAGCGTCGGCCCCCGTCCCCCGAGCAGTGCGCTGCTCAGCCAACGTGCCCCCGGCTCAGCCTCTATCATGGGAAGGGCCGAGAACGGCTGAAACTTGTTGCCCAGATGAGAGGGACGGTCAGGCCCACAGTGCCTCCTCGACGGTGGAGCGCAGCCAGCGGCCCCCATCCCCGGGAGAGGAAGGACGGTGCGTCCCCCACCACGGCCATCCGTCTCGATGCTTTGCTCCAGCGGGCCAGCCCGGGGGGAGGCCGTCAGCGACATTCAGGCGAGCGGACAGCCCTGGTCCCCTGATGGCGCCGGCTGTCAGACGGTGACCTCGGTCTTGCTGTTGGTGGCGAGGTGCCGGGCGGGCTGGCCGTACAGCGGGGCAGTGGGGCCGAAGGCCTCGGGCGGCCCCTCGGGGCGCA